GCACACCCCGGACACGTGTGTCGGGCGTTTGCAACCGCCATAACACTTCCAGACTTGTGAGAGGCCGCCTATGCAAGATTTGGCGGCATGCTACCCCCGGAGGCCGCCGGCCACAGCCGTACACGCGCGAAGGGCAATCCACGTAGAGGGAATTTTTCGGATACTTCTCCATCACCAAAACTTATGAAAAAATACCATCGTTCCTATAGCACATGTGCCCACGTCGTGCAAAAAAACTCATGATTTTATCGTGCTGTGAGTATTTAATAATATTCACGCCGCATCGTTACCGCAGAACATCTACTACCGTGTCATCGTCGTCCGTGAGGGGGGGCCACGCCCCGGAGACGCATGCCGCCTCTTCGGACATGCCACCACACCACCCCGCATGTATGAGGGACCGGTGCGACGCTCCGGTGGCATTGCTACCCCCCAGGGCCCCCGTCCCGCCTAACCCTATAGCGTTTGACCACGGGATCTACCTCTTTGACTTTGCACGGACGAGCTTTGACCAGCGGACCTCCCCGCCCGGTTGTGTTAGGTCAGCCCATAGGAACACTTCGGAGCAACAACCGGGCCAAACACACAGCAAGATCCCCTCCGTGTAGACACGACGCGTTCGTTTCCTCCCTCCAGGTGCCGGCGGCGGCGCCGTCCGTGAGGGGGGGCACACCCCGGACACGCGTGCCGGGCGTTTGCAACCGTCACAACACTTCCAGACTTGTGAGAGGCCGCCTACGCAAGATTTGGCGGCATGCTAACCCCCGGAGGCCGCCGGCCACAGCCGAACACGCGCGAAGGGCAATCCACGTAGAGGGAATTTTTCGGATACTTCTCCATCACCAAAAATTATGAAAAAATACCATCGTTCCTATAGTACATGTGCCCACGTCGTGTGAAAAAACTCATATTTTATCGCGCTCCAAGTATTTAATAATATTCACGCCGCATCGTTACCGCAGAACGTCTACTACCGTGTCATCGTCGTCCGTGAGGGGGGGGGGCACGCCGCGGAGATGCGTGCCGGCTCTTCGGACATGCCACCACACCACCCCACATGTATGAGGGCCCGGTGCGACGCTCCGACGGCATTGCTACCCCCCTGGGCCCCCATCCCACCTAACCCTGTAGCGTTTGACCACGAGATCTAGCCCTTTGACTTTGCACGGACGGGCTTTGACGAGCGGACCTCCCCGCCTGGTTGTGTTAGGTCAGCCCATAGGAACAATTTGGAGCAACAACCGGGCCAGACCCACAGCAAGATCCCCTCCGTGTAGACCCGACGCGTCCGTTTCCCCCCTCCAGGTGCCGGCGGCGGCACCGTCCGTGAGGGGGGGCACACCCCGGACAAGCATGCCGGGCGTTTGCAACCGCCACAACACTTCCAGACTTGTGAGAGGCCGCCTACGCAAGATTTGGCGGCATGCTATCCCCCGGAGGCCGCCGGCCACAACCGTAGACGCGCGAAGGGCAATCCGCGTAGAGGGAATTTTTCGGATACTTCTCCATCACCAAAAATTATGAAAAAATACCATCGTTCCTATAGCACATGTGCCCACGTCGTGCAAAAAAACTCATGATTTTATCGTGCTCCGAGTATTTAATAATATTCACGCCGCATCGTTACCGCAGAACGTCTACTACCGTGTCATCGTCGTCCGTGAGGGGGGGCCACGCCCCGAAGACGCATGCCGCCTCTTCGGACATGCCACCACACCACCCCGCATGTATGAGGGCCCGGTGCGATGCTCCGGTGGCATTGCTACTCCCCAGGGCCCCCGTCCCGCCTAACCCTATAGCGTTTGACCACGGGATCTACCTCTTTGACTTTGCACGGACGGGCTTTGACTAGCGGACCTCCCCGCTCGGTTGTGTTAGGTTAGCCCATAGGAACACTTTGGAGCAACAACCGGGCCAGACCCACAGCAAGATCCCCTCCGTGTAGACACGACACGTTCGTTTCCTCCCTCCAGGTGCCGGCGGCGGCGCCGTCCGTGAGGGGGGGCACACCCCGGACACGCGTGCCGGGCGTTTGCAACCGCCACAACACTTCCAGACTTGTGAGAGGCCGCCTACGCAAGATTTGACGGCATGCTAACCCCCGGAGGCCGCCGGCCACAGCCGTACACGCGCGAAGGGCAATCCACGTAGAGCGAATTTTTCGGATACTTCTCCATCACCAAAAATTATGAAAAAATACCATCGTTCCTATAGCACATGTGCCCACGTCGTGCGAAAAAACTCATGATTTTATCGCGCTCCAAGTCTTTAATAATATTCACGCCGCATCGTTACCGCAGAACGTCTACTACCGTGTCATCGTCGTCCGTGAGGGGGGGTGGGCACGCCCCGGAGATGCGTGCCGGCTCGTCGGACATGCCACCACACCAACCCACATGTATGAGGGCCCGATGCGACGCTCCGATGGCATTGCTACCCCAGGGCCCCCATCCCACCTAACCCTGTAGCGTTTGACCACGAGATCTAGCCCTTTGACTTTGCACGGACGGGCTTTGACCAGCGGACCTCCTCGCCTGGTTGTGTTATGTCAGCCCATAGGAACAATTTGGAGCAACAACCGGGCCAGACCCACAGCAAGATCCCCTCCGTGTAGACCCGACGCGTCCGTTTCCCCCCTCCAGGTGCCGGCAGCGGCGCCGTCCGTGAGGGGGGCACACCCCGGACACGCGTGCCGGGCGTTTGCAACCGCCACAACACTTCCAGACTTGTGAGAGGCCGCCTACGCAAGATTTGGCGGCATGCTATCCCCCGGAGGCCGCCGGCCACAGCCGTAGACGCGCGAAGGGCAATCTGCGTAGAGGGAATTTTTCGGATACTTCTCCATCACCAAAAATTATGAAAAAATACCATCGTTCCTATAGCACATGTGCCCACGCCGTGAAAAAAAAACTCATGATTTTATCGCGCTCCGAGTATTTAATAATATTCACGCCACATCGTTACCGCAGAACGTCTACTACCGTGTCATCGCCATCCGTGAGGGGGGACCACGCCCCGGAGACGCGTGCCGCCTCTTCGGACATGCCACCACACCACCCCGCATGTATGAGGGCCCGGTGCGATGCTCTGGTGGCATTGCTACCCACCCAGGGCCCCCGTCCCGCCTAACCCTGTAGCGTTTGACCACGGGATCTAGCCCTTTGACTTTGCACGGACGGGCTTTGACCAGCGGACCTCCCCGCCCGGTTGTGTTAGGTCAGCCCATAGGAATACTTTGGAGCAACATCCGGGCCAGACCCACAGCAAGATCCCCTCCGTGTAGACCCGACGCGTCCGTTTCCCCACTCCAGGTGCCGGCGGTGGG